GGTTTGGAGGCAGGCGCCCCATGTGGAAGCTATACCTGACTTTGCAATGGCCCACTTTGGTCCCTCATCCTGAAAAAGACATCGTGTCAAGCTGTGAGTTGGACTAAAGATTAGTGCAGAATAATACACTTGCAATGGTGCATTCTCGATGACACCTCTGTTAAACAAAATAAACCGATGGACATCATGAATCAGCTCAAAAAGTCTGGACCCTTGTGACACACTCTGAATAAGTTAACATTCTGTATAGCTCGGTTGTGGGAAGTGGTAACCTACTCTGACCATGGTGGTGAGCTTAGCTATTGCAAACACGCTGCTTGACATGCTCTTTATCAGACTCAGGGCTTCCAACCAATGAAGAAGATGTTCCCTGAGAAAAACATCAACCATTCCAGTATCATGGAGGAACATTTCACTATGTGGTCCCATTTCATGGAGATGATCAACCCAATATACGCACGCGTATCGAATTGGTGCAAGTGATGGTGTATGGACATCTTTAAGGTGCTGCAAAGAATGAATATCCCGTTTCAAAATTTGTGACATGGATTCAATTGATTGTGACATTATTCTTTGATGTCCCTTCCTGCATCCATCAGGGAATATCTGAGATATGATTTCTGGCTTTGCGTGCTCAATAAGATAGTCTTTTGCTGACTGGTGAACAAAGTAGATGGTTGCTTCTTCTTCTTTGAGGGAAAGAAGACCACATAGCTGTATTATCTTCCGAGTATCTGCAAACTTTGGCAGTGCAGCAAGTGTGACCATTTCAGATAATTGCAGTGGGCGATAGGAATTGACTGCAATTAAGAGCACTTCTCTGCAGAAACAAGCATACCTATTTTGTTGCTGGCTGAGCTGGATGATTCGATCCATCATCTGATTGTACAATTCATGCAAGCCAACAGGCATTTTGTAAACAAAATCCAGGACCTCATCAGCATCACAGTCTCTTGCTTGAATCTGCTGAAAAACAAGGGCCACCCAGAGAAAGGTATTTTCAGCCTTTCTATGGAGATCCTCCGCGATGTTGCCTTCAATATTTCGAAGCTGCATGCGGGTTTCATGGTCAATGTCCCTATATTTCTTTTCATACTGAGCAATAACATTTTGCATCTGGTGATCAATGTAAGCTTTGACAGCATATGAAATTTCATTTTCCACATCCTTATCAAGATTGAGCTCTGTCTTGCTCCTATTGAATAACTCCTTCTCAATCTCAGGTTTATGGCGACTGGACACAAGCCACCTGACTTGACTGTTGGGATCTGACAGTGATTCAAAAATAAACTTCAAGAGTTGCTCCAATCCAGACTGACATTCATCAAGCGCATCTACCACCAAGTACACTTGATTCAGCCTGTGATCACGCAGCATGTTGTGAAGGATTTTGGATACTGCAACAAATGCATTGCCACCCTCAAATAATTTTGATCCTGCTCTGTCATACTCATCATGGATGTGTGAGATGAGAAAGGGTTGTTGATGGACCAGTTTGTAAATCAAGCCTCTGATGACTGCAGTAGCATTGTTGAGCCTTGCATCTGTTGCCTGACAGAGAAAGAAAGATAGCGGGGTGAATCCAGGGTCGGACTGCAAATCCTCGATGATGCTGATCATAAGCATTGTCTTCCCCTTTCCAGGGTCTGCTCTCATCCACAGGAACTGGGTTGTCTCACCATGTCTCCAGTCCGTGAAGGAAGGGTGGTACAGAATCCATGTAGATGATTCAGGCAATAGTCGACCTTTGCTACCTTCAATGCGTTCCATGTCATGCTGAGGATCAGTAAGGCGCAGGTCTTGCAGACACTTTTTGTTTTCATTTTTCTCTTGGAGATCTTTCTGCAACGCTGCCTGCTTCTCAAGGCCATGGTGGAGGTCATGGAAGATGTTTTGGAGAGTTCTTGTTTCTTCCTCATGGAAATCCACAATTTGCTGGGCACTGTACTCCTTTGAGTTCTCAAGAACTGCTGTTACTGCTTCTCTGACATCATCTAGTTGCCCATCCCAATCATGAAGCTGCACAAGGTCTTTCAGGAAGACAAAGCCCCGGTTTCGATAGTATGAGCAAACACATGTCATCTGGTAGGAGAGGAGTGCCTTGTAAAGGTGGATAATTTGGTCCTGCAGACCCAGTTGCAGTCCTGCATAGGAATTCCCACTCAGGTCCCGCCTCTTGAGTAGATGACTAGACAAGTTCCAGTACCACTCCATCTTTCTAGCAACATAGTCAATGCCAGCACGGTTGGTTTCTGTTTCTTTAATTGGGTTGACTATCATCTATGAGCATGTTAGCATCAAATCTATTATTCAGGCTCAGCGACAGCACTCACCTGTAAAGCAAAAGTAACACCAGTCCATGCAAGAGCAGCTTCTGGGCATACCTTGAGTGCAGTACTGATCATGTTGTTTGCCGCAAGGGCCACATCCACCACATGCCCAGCACCCTGTTTTAACTTGGCCTCATGCTCAGTCTTGGCCAGACCCTGGTCAACTAGCTGTCTCATCTGAGATCGTCGCAGCTCTGGATCTTCCTGCTCGATCAGGTTTTGCTGGATGTTGGATACTGGGGAAGCAGTGGGTGTTGCAAGTTCACAAGACAGAACCTTTTCATAAGCCTCCACCAACCCAGGCTTGTCTTTTCTGAGGCTGTTGTACGCTTTGTCCCAGAGTAGCTTTGGGTCAATCAGGGCGGCTGATTGTTTTGAAGCTGAATCCTCTTGGGCGGTATTACCAGTAGAGGGTGTCATTGTTTGTTCATGAGTAGGCAGGATATGGATAGGCCTCGAAATGGTGCGGTCCCGGTCCTATAGTCGGCGACCAAGGACCGGACCACGCGGTCTTGCGGTCCTGAAATGTCAGGACCGGACCGGACCATGGTCCCTTGCGGTCCCTTGCGGTCTTGACCGCGGGGGACCGCAATTGCATAAAATTGCCAAGACTTTCCTTTTTCGGCTGGATAATTTGCTGATTCATCTGATTTTTTACCATTATTAAATACTGTCTTGGTTTGTATATCAAAATCTCCTGTAATCATACAGAGGTAAATAGTATTTTGCCAATTTCTTGGAGTTATACAATAATTTTTTACCAAACTACAGTTGGATTTAATGATCAATATACAACGCAATGCCTTTCAGTTATAGGTTGCCGTTAGATATGGATTTCATCAGCATTCAGCAGCCTACAGACCAGTTCATCTCATATACTACAGGCTGCTGGGTATATATATATATATATATACATGGGTAGACATTACGGAGTAAATATGAATTGCTGTGCAACTTCGGAATGTATATAAATATATGGCTATTTTTGCTTCGGAGATGGTTGATAGCGGAATGAGACTGATATAGATGATATTAATATAAATGGAATATTAATTGTATTCAATGCTTGATGATGCTGTGTGTTATTAGTTATTGTCACAGATTACAAGGTGGCTTGGACTTTGGAGAATCTGATTCCAATCCTATCCAACTTTAACCGCAGTTGGTTTAGTGTGTCACTAAATGCGGCTTTTGCAGCTTAATCTGTGCCAAACTGCTCTGAATGCAACTCTATTAGCAACCAACTATTTCTTCTGGTTAAAAAAACTCTATTAAGTCTCTTCTACACACTCCCCTTCCTATCATAATTCATCACAATGTCACAGAGCCAGGCCTCTCAGTTCTCTGAGCACTATTCCTCATCATTTTTGGAGGAAAACCTGTTGGATAGCCCCTGCTTCCTTCCATCTGATGGGTCATTCAACCCTTTGCACAGCCCAAACATGCCAAATCCCAGCTCTAGCACTAATTTCACACAGCCAGTGCCTCCGCCTCCTATTCCTGAGACACTGGAACGCGTTGGTCCTGCAAAGAAGAAGATCTATATCCTTTGGACAGAGATGGTGAATGATGACTTTGTCACATGGTGGTTGAAGACTGAGTATGGAAGTGAGATGAAACGGAATATCTTCAAGGGTAAACACCATGCAGAGTCCTGGGACTATTTCCATCAAGTAGTTGCTATCCAGGATGGATCCCCTAAGGTTATGTGTAAGAAATGTGACCATATCCTTGCCCATCCTGCTGACCGCCACCGTGGAACATCTACTATGAACAGACACTATTCACAAGGGATCAACTGTCAGAAATTGGCACCCCAATCGCAGGATATTCGAAGGCTGATAAATAATGGGGTATAGATATCTCTATCTTTCATCTGAACCTCTACTTATCTTACTAAAACTCCTTATTAGGCACACCGAGCTCTTCAAAAAGCATCTTTCACTCAACAAGCATGGATGGAGAGGATAATTACCTTCATAACAGCCTCACGTCTACCCTTTCAACTTGTTGAGCATCCAGAATTTCATGCCCTCATTGAAATGGCCCGGCTTGCTCCATCCTTTCCTGAAATCCCTTCTGCGTACACGGTCCGCCGGAATCTTCAAGAATTGGTTGAAGAGCGTCAACATACTCTGATTCAGAAGCTCCCAGAGGGCGCTAAGCTCTCTATTGCACTGGATTGCTGGACCTCACCCTTTCGCCAGGCCTTTATGGCAGTAACAGGCTATTTTCTTGATAAAGATTGGAATTATCGCGAGATATTACTTGGCTTTGAACCCCTACATGGCTCACATACTGGGTCTTATCTGAGCACTGTTCTGTTTGACCTTCTTGAGAAGTATCACATTACTGATCGAGTATTAACGGCTACCACTGATAATGCGTCTAATAACTCTACATTGATGGATAGCCTGCAACAGTCCCTTACATCTCTTGAGCTACCTAACTATATACCAATTATTTGCATGCCATGTATCGCACATGTCATCCAACTAAGTTTAAAGGAGCTACTTGGTGAGATGGAAGCAAACCCATGTAATGATAGAGAAGAGATGGAATGGACTGAGAGAAGGAATGGGGCCCAGCAAGAGAACAGAGAGATTGTGAATACTCTAAATAAGGTATGAATCTATCTCTTCTATAATCCTAATTTCTAATCTCTAATAATTTTTTAGGTTCGACGGCTAGCAGTCTTTGTCAATAAAAGCCCCCAGCGACGAGAGAATTTCATGGATCTTCAGACACAAGAACCTAAGCTTGTTCCTATACAAGATGTCCAGACACGCTGGAATTCAACATATCTCATGCTTCGGCGGGCCAAACGACTTCAGTCTACTTTTGATGAGTACTGCTCTGAATACGGCCATCCTGATCTAAAGCTAGATAGGGATAAATGGCGACAAATTGACTATCTTTTATCAATCACCCAACCTTTTTTTAAATTTACAACCTCTCTCTCGAAGACTACTGAGGTCACTATCCATAGTGTCTTTGCAATCTACAACACCTTATTCACTCATCTTGAGAAATCTAGGGCACAACTGGCGCAAAAGAAGGTTGGCTGGAAGAAGGTGATGCTGTCAGCATTAAAGGCTGCAGAGGTAAAGCTCTCAGAATATTATAGGAAGACTGATGAGATTGAGGGTGGTCTCTATGCAATTGGGACTATCTTAGCGCCACAGAACAAGCTAGAATTCTTTTCAACAAAGGACTGGGAGCCAAACTGGCAGCCACGATACCGGAAGGCCCTTGAGGCTTACATTCAACCTTACCAGCAGCGCTATTCAGAGACACAGTCTATATCAGCTGCCCGGTCTTCAGCAGAGGGTATCTCTGATGTAGATATCCTTGTGACATCAGCCGCATCTCTACAGCCACAAACAACTGCTAATGATGAGCTTTCACGGTATCTTGGAAGTGGTAAGCTTATCCTCTATATCTTCCTTCCCTGATATTAACATCTATAGGTACTCAAATTGTGAATCCACGGGTGTACTGGAGAGATCACCAACATGAATACCCCATCCTGGCAAGCGTTGCCCGAGATGTTCTTACAACACCAGCCAGTGGTTCTGGTGTTGAGCGGTTATTCAATTCTGCTCGGGACATCTGCCACTACCGCCGGGGATCACTAAAACCGAAAACAATCAAAGAGCTGATGTTGTTTATGTGTACAACAAAGTTCAATATGGAATCCAAGCAGCTTTCCCTAATGGAAGAGTACTTTACTACTCAAGAAACACAAGCAGCAAAGGAGGAAAAAGATGCTTGGAAAAAACAGGATGAATTTAACCCAATTAGTGATGATGAGGATGAACTATCTTCTGCTGGAGCCACATCTCAAGTTATTCATCCTCCTAGTGAGCGTGCACTTGGGAAGAGAAGGGCTGAAGCTATATCAGATGAGTCGGGTCCTTTACTTGGATTAGATGAAGCTGATGAGATTCCTCTACCTGATAATAGCTACCTGCAAGGTGATAGTAGTACTCAGAGGCGCTCATCAGGGCGGCTTCCAAAGCGCTTGAGACGTGAAGATTTTGTGTATGAATAGTTATCAATCTAACAGACCAACGAATAAAAAAAAAACCCCCATTTTAATCTAAAATTTGCTTATATGATATCTACATGAGTATTCATCTAATATTTCAACTAATCCGTAAGCAAAATACTTGAAAATACAGATAGATTTGCATAAAATATGCATATCACAGAATTTCTATGTTTGTCCTGTTTGTAGGACCGCCGGTCTTAACTGGACCACTGTGGTGCGGTCCTAAAAATCCAAGGACCGCACTGCGGTCCTTAGGTGTCGCACCAAAGACCGGACCACAACGGTCTGGTCCGGTTTGGTTTGCGGTCCTTGCGGTCCCATTTCGAGGCCTAGATATGGACATGTCGAGTCTGTGGTTCGGTCTGGGGGGCTTGAGTCGATTCCGTCTTTGTGGGGGGCTTTTTAACAGTGCTGTCCAGTGGCACAAGATTGACTTTCTCTTCATTGGGGAATTTTTGCTTTGGCTGTTTGTTGCGGCGGAAAATATGTGACAAACAATTAATTCCTGCCATGATGATTGAAATGATGGATGAGAGTTGTGAGACAGCCACAAAGAATGAAATCACCAAACAATTTCAGCCCAAGCCTGTTGGCGGCTATTTTGTGGGGCAGTGCTTGACTGATCACCCAATCTCAATAGATGTGAGAACTCCATTGGTTGTTCAGGTCTAACAAAAGTCAAACCTCAGCTGGGAAGACTTCAGTGATCATCTTTCTCATGATACCAATTTTGTGAAAACACCCATATCTGGCTAACATAAAGTCATAGACTAGTAATTTGATGGAACTTAAATCTAAATAATGATGCTCCATCTTATAGTGGCATTGATAGACCTCAGTGCTTCATATCACTCATGGGTGGGCGGCGGGATTGCCCATGGGCAGTAAGCATATATGGACCAATCATGTCTCATTAGCCGTCACTCCCAAAATCTCTCCCGATCCCAAAAGTCTAATGTACCAAACTGTTACAGCAAATTGTGTAATATTACAAGGAAGTACAATACATGAGATATAGACGATAACTATATACGGAATAGCGCGTTTCATGGTAGGGTCTGGGAAAGAAAACCAAGAGTTTCCGGGGGCAAGCTGATTTCGGGAACTACTGTACCATAACGGTCTGTATCACTGGACTGTACCATAAGGTACCATAAGATCTGTATAAGTTGAACGAGGAGGGAATTCCAGCAACTGCGTTGTGGTTGATACTATTGCGATATAAAACGTCGTTGTGTGCCGAGCGGGAACCAACCCCGGACTGATGGCGGACCCACCCGCGGGGCCTCCCGAGGCCACGCCCACAAACACCCAGGAAACCACCAATTTCTCGGTCGAGGATTTCCAGCCTAGGGTGACCAATATCCCAATGCGAGTCACAAGAAAGAGAGGACGACTCAATGAGAGCTATGCTCCTGAAGAGGGCACCAGCCGGATCACCACCAGGGAGGTGTGGAAGCTTATCGACGACCTGAAGGACATCATCCACCACCAAACCGCACTCATCGAATCTACCAAAGCCAAGCTACAGGAGGTCAAACACGACCAAAACATCCTTCACAAACAGAACCAGGAGCTTCATGAAGAAGTCAAAGCCATGTGTGCACAACTTGATAGTTCCTCACTGGTGCCCTCGGCTAGATCGTGGGCTGCTGTAGCAGCCAGCTCGGGCAATGCGAACCCCCAGCCGAGCTACCAACGCCCTGACAAGGACCAGAAATGCGTCCGGATCAGCACCCAGCGGTCATCCGTAGATCCAGAGGACAACCAGGCCAATGATGGGAATGCCTTTGGCCGATACCTCCCCACCGACTCTGCAAACTCCTACATTCATACAGCCCTGTTGAGTGCACCAGCTACGCAAGATGCACAGGTTGCCGGGATTGGCACCACTAAAACCGGATATGTGATTCGCTTTAAGAACCAAATGTCAGCAGAGGCTGCTCGAAACAACACTGAATGGTTGAACGAACTAGGAAACAACACGAAGCTGGTAAAGCCAAGGTTCGGCGTCGTCGTACACTGTACCCCGACAGAAGACTTTGATTTGGAAAATGCCAATACGGAAGCTTTCGCGAAGATTATGGAAGAAAACAACCTAGCAGAGCAGGGATTTCAAATTGAAGAGTTGGCTTGGCTCAAGCGGAAGGACAAAGTGCTAGGGAAATTCGCATTGCTCGGCATCTGGTTTGACTCAGCAGAGGGAGCCGAATACATCCTCAATAACAGCCTCCTTGTTGGCCAAAGACAGATCGGCAGCGTTGAACGCCGTGAGATCAAGAAAAAGAGATGCTTCCAGTGCCAACATTTCAGACACCTGGCATGGTCATGCAAGGAGACACCACGCTGCAGCCACTGTGCCGGCCAACACCTTTGTGAACACTGCCCATCCGGCGTACGGCCGCGATGCCTTGACTGCAGCGGTGAGCATCCAACCGGTGATCGTCAGTGCCTGACCCCCGCAACTTTCAACCCCTCGCAATGTTAGAGACCAACCTACACGTACTACAGCTGAACATCATGAAATCAGGGCCAAGGATGGAAGCGCTCATCAACAACCACCAGAGCCAGAACCTGGATATTCTCTTGATCCAGGAACCATCGATCACTAGCTATCAAACACACGTTAATCACAGTGCATGGTGGCTATACCGACCAACTGTCAACATGGACGCAGTTCGGTTTCGTAGCCTCATATATGTTAACCGCAACCTATCAACCTCCTCGCACCGGCAGATTCGGTGCGAACACCCAGACATTACTGCCATCAAGATTTGGACTGCCGACTCCCAAATTCTCCTGTTTTCTGTTTACCTCCCTTCTGTCCCGCTATACGCCCCCGATGAAGGGTCAGCAGAACCCATGCTCACAGCAATCCAAAACACAATTTCAATCGCCCAACGGGACGACCGGCGGTCCACGACTGTTATCCTATCAGGAGATTTCAACCGCCATCACCCAATGTGGGGCGGCAACCATATTCAACCGAGATTTATCGAAGACGCATGTGCACTCATCACCTTTTTCCAAGAGCACAATCTACAAACCTGCCTGCCTCGAGGTACAGCTACCTTCTGGCCCCTTAACGACCCAGGAAAAAGCACGACTATCGATCTAACTGTAACGGACCGACCGGGCCTGCTCATCAAATGTCACCTTTACCACGAAAACTACGGGTCGGACCACCGAGCAACATATTCAAAATGGAGCCTTAAACCCTACCACAAGCCCATCGCCAAGGTGAGGAAAGTGTATGAACAAGCAGAGTGGGACAAGATCGGAGCCGAAGTGCTCCAGCGGATGGGCCCATGGAAAGAGATCAAAACGAGACCAGCTCTAGACAAAACAGTCAAACGCCTCACGGAAATCACGATATCTGCTGTGGAGAACCACACCCCAAACCGATGCCCAACCCCCTATTCCAAACGCTGGTTCACGCCAGACCTTAAAGGCCAACAGACCGAGGTCAACCGCTTACGTCGGAAATGGCAAGAGAGCTGTGTGGAATACGGACGAGATCACGCACGCTCAGGGACCCTCTTCCAAGAGATGCAGCAAAAGCGTCGAGCCTGGACCCGTACAATTGAAAAAGTCAAAAAGTCACACTGGAAACAGTTCCTAGACGGAGCTGGGGAAGGAACACTATGGAAAGCGGCTACCTATATGAAACCGCGAGAGACCTGGGGCTGCGTCCCGGCCTTGCGCGTTGATTCTAACGAACTGGTGGAGAATGAGGACAAAGCACAAGCGTTTCTTGACACTTTCTTCCCCAAAATGGACCAACCCCTCGAAGACCCACCAGTCCAGGCCCCGTTGGAGCTACCCTGGCCACTAATCACGGAACTGGAAATTCAGCGATCTCTTAAAGCAGCCAAAAGCTCCACGGCACCGGGCGAAGACGGTCTACCGACGCTTGTGTGGAAACACCTATGGAGGTATATAGGAAAGCTCATCACCAGAATCTTCACAGCATTAGTTGAACTAGGACACCACCCAAGATGTTGGCGGAGAGCAAAGATCGTGGTGCTGCGGAAACCTGGGAAGCCGGACTACTCGATCCCTGGGGCCTATCGCCCAATTTCACTCCTTAACACACTAGGTAAACTTCTTGAGGCAGTCATGGCTCGACGACTATTGTACCTCGCCGAGAAGCACGGCTTACTACCCGACACACAATTTGGAGGGCGACCGGGCAGGACCACTGAGCAAGCCCTGCTAGTCCTCTCCAACGCGATTGACCAAGCTTGGTATAAACATGGAGTAATGACACTCATCGCGTTCGATCTGAAAGGGGCCTTCAATGGAGTCAACAAAATCAGCCTTGACGCCCGCCTCTGAGCAAAGGGAATCCCAGCCACAGCTAGAAAGTGGATTGCAAGCTTTATGAGTGAACGCTACGCTAGCATAGGATTTGATGACTTCCGTACTGAGGTCGCCCTGCTAGTCAACGCAGGTCTGGCGCAGGGCTCACCCCTCTCACCCATTCTGTTCACATTCTTCAACTCCGACCTGGTCGACCAACCAGTCACCTTTCGTGGTGGCGCATCAGCGTTCATTGATGACTACTTCCGCTGGCGAGTAGGCCGCTCAGCCGAAGAGAACCTAGCCAAAATCCAGTCAGAGGATATCCCTCACATTGAAGCATGGGCGCAACAGACTGGCTCCTGCTTCGCAGCTGAGAAGACCGAGCTTATCCATATCACCAGGAGAAGAAGCGAGCAACTACAAGGGCAAGTAGTCATAAACAGGAAACCTGTCAAACCATCACCCACGGCAAAGCTACTGGGTGTGATCTTCGACCATGAGTTGCAGTGGAAAGAGCATGTCCAGCAAGCCATCAAACATGCCACCAAGGTAACCATTGCTCTGGCCGGACTGCGACATCTACGCCCAGAACAGATGCGACAAATTTACCAAGCATGTGTCACACCAGTGGTAGACTGTTAGTACCCATCGGGTCACGTGCTTGACCGCCCTCGCTTTCTGCCCGGTAGACATATAGCTAGCCTTAGCCGATAGGCACCCAATTCATCCA